ACCACTAAGCCGGCGTTTAACGGTGTTAATGTCTAATTTCAACTGATCCACGAAATTAGAACAACAACATTTAGTAACGTGCCTATTTAGTAGTAGAAATAATATTTTATTATGAAAAGTTGAGTATTTCGATAATGTTTTGAACATGTTAAAACATGAACTTATTGGCAGATAAAGAGAATCAGTATTACATTGATATGAATCAGTAAAATACAGTTGAAAATGAGCATGTTCTGTGATTCAGTGTTATTAGAAGGGTCACTTAACATAAGTTGAAAGTCGATAATTTTGTAAACACTTTAACAACAAGTAACATTCATTATCACAATGTCAATTCATTATTATATGAGGTAAATTGTGAAAGGCGCAACTTGAAGATTTTGTTATCGATTAGTTAGAATCAATATAGAGCCCATCACAAATGTGTTGTAACAAATAAGCATAACTATACCGAAAATATACGAGTCAAACTAATGAAAATAAGATTGGTAAGGAAAAAGAAGAAAATTCGAAGAATAGGTTATAAGCAGAAATAATAAGAAGGGATATATATATATATATATAGATAAATACTGAAACTAATGGAAAATGAAATAGAAATATATGTGTGTTATGGCCATCAAAATTCTTCAGCGATTGGTCACCGTAATGGACCCTACAGCGGACCGTAATCAATCAGTCTGTATCTGTTAATAAGGCCTAGTCAAATAGTAAGTGAATTTATGAACTGATCCCATGTCTTGTTTTAGCCATATCTAACTTTCTGCTGACGTACTCTGAATAAATAACTATTTGAATCCTAATTATATAATGTGAATTATAATTATGCTAAATTCGGTCAAGTTATATTTCAGTAAGTAAGTCAGTTACAACGTAGGATTAGGCACACAGATACATCGTTCCAAGTTGCCATACCTCATTAGCACAACACGATGAACACCGGATTCATAAAAGTAGTTAATTCAGAGGTGGTAATATATAAAAGAAAGATTGCATATAAGGACATAGTACAGGAAGAAAGAATTAGTTCGTAGAAAGAAAGATGTGAAGCAATTTTAATCCCTTAGTTGAAGGGAAGACAGAGAGTGTATACACCTACGCCATTGTGATCGATTCTGAACCATGTCACCAAGAGTCTCCAACCATTGGTTACGATAGTCATGTGGACCCCAACCAAGTAGTCTGCGTCTACCAACATGGCTCAGACTAGAAGTTAGTGACTTCAGGCACTGATGCCACGTTTCGGTTTGGCCACCCCTAACATTTTTCCATCGATCCCCAACACCAGTCAGTATTGCGCGTCGTAGTAATCTGTGTTCAAGCATACGCAACACATGGCCCAACCGTCTCAGTCGATGAAGATTCACAACCTCATCAACTGATTCACCATCATTCCCTAATATCCTAGCGTCTAACCTATTACTTACCCGGTGATCCCATCAGATGCCAGCAATATTTCTAATGCATCTGTGGTCAAATACTAGTAACCTCCGAGTATTTTCAACTCTTAATGACCACGATTCGCAGCCGTAAATTAAAACAGAACAAACTGCCGCGCAGTATACTCGTCCCTCAATTGATAGACGGATATCTCACCTTCGCCATAGGTAACGTAAGTTGACAAAAGCCAAAAGAGCTCTTCGAATCCGAGCTGAGATTTCGTCAGACACCAACTCATTGGGGCTGATCAGACTTCCAAGGTAAGTGAAGTTGTCGATGCGTTTTAGAGTCAAATAATTCTTTAATATAGTTAGCTTAGCGTCATGACCCCTACTCACAGGCAATCAGAAAGAATATTATTCTCTACTAACATCACTTTTTTAATTTCATTAACAATCTGTAGATTTAACACACATAACTTGGCTATTTTGTTTAGATGAATTTGATATTACTGTCATGAGATTTTGACATATCAAGTTATTGTCAACGTAATGTATGAAAGGCTTCAAGTTTAAGCGATCGGTATTTTGGTGTAGTGAAGCATTAGTGACTTGTACATTACTACACCATAGATAAAAGGGAACCAACTGATAAGTTTTTAAATAATTAACATTAACCTGAGAAAAGTAAATCATACAACAATGGTCCATGCGCCAAGTGAAAGATTACAATAAGGAGAATATAAGAGTAAAGTAATCCATATTTCTTATAATTATACAATAAAGATGTAAACAATAGTTCTTTATAAGATAATTCCATGAGTTACAACCACCTCATAATTTGTTCCTTTATCACACCTACCTATGCGGCTGAGTTGAAAAAACCTTTCCTTTAAAAAATTACCAAAACTGAAATAATGCAAAGGTATAAAAGCCTTATTTGAATGATACAATCCTTATTTTCATCAGTTGAATAGATTAATAACCAAATAATAGGATAATATAACCGGAAACCTCTTTTTTCATATTCAGCTTACAATGGACTACAAAACGGTCAAATTTTTAAATCTACATCATTTTTGAAAGATCAAGTCAATTCTAAGATCGGTTACAAATGCAAAGTTCAAATATAATCTTGATGATTCATAGAGATCAGGTTGAAAAGGTTATTGAAAGTGAAATTGGAGTTATAATTTGTAATGCTAGAAAAACGAGGTTAACTAATTAATCAACAAATATGTTATACCTAACAAGTTTATTGGTATTTAATTGATTTTTAGACATAATATATGGAATATGTAACTAAATATATAAGAAGTTGACAGTAATACTGATCAACATTAGATCTCAGTGGGTATTCAATTGTTCTACCTTTAGGAATGGGCTCACAACGGTTCCTAAAGTTGCTTAAATCTTACCAACCATTTTAAGCAAGTTTATAATACCGGTATGAAGTGTACGGTTACTCAGTAAACAGCTTGATCGATATTCAATTTATTTAAAATTGAATAGAAACCATGCATCAGTGATAGGTCAGTAAAATGAGCACAACAAATTCATATCTGATGTAGTATTTACTGGAAAAAAATGTCAGGAATAGATCCACTGTAACTCCAATATGAGTGTCTTGCAAAACTGCTGCAGTTTCATGAGAAAGCTAATTATCAAATAATATTTCCTCCAACTATTCAAATTACCTTAGGCTTTTGCTAACGACCAACAGTAACATCTCAATCTTAAGCATCAGTCTTGTTTTCGTCAAGCATCATGTGAAGAAATTTTTATGTAAACCCATGGTTCAGGTAGTATTATTAGAAGTGGATGATCGACCGAAGTACAAAGAGGTAGAAAAGTTCAGCTATATTGTTGGGTATTTTGGCTAAAAGCGTAAGAGCTTACGTATTGGAAACGAAATGAACCATAACTTAACATTTTAAGCTTTTTGGGCGATAAGGTGGTGTTCCTCCCATAAATTTTTATTCACACTACTGTGTATTCCGAGTAATTTTGGTGTGGAATTTATTTTTCGTCGGAAAAATTGTCTTTCTGTCGTAAACTTGGACCAGTTAAAAACGTATATAAATTGTGTTTTTCTAAGTGCGAATTATTCCCAATCATAGACCGTTTGTTTTCCCCAAAGATTCTATGGGCCGAGTGTTTTGTTTACTCAAATTGTCAGTGAAAATTTGTTTTAATTATCCTGAAAATTCACTCGATCATATTGTGGTGTGGGTTACGTTTATCCACAAAAGTAGTATATAATAGTGGTCATGCATAGAATGTATTTCAGTAGAAGATCGATAAGGAAAGAACGGGAACGGAACACAGTTGGTATGAAAATGCATGAACAATGAAATCTAATACAATGGACTGATATTTGCAAAAGGAACAGTCAAGTTTGAAACGATGGATTGATATTTTGAAAATTAACTATTTACTATATGGTTCTCAGATTTTAGTGAGATTCTCTGTATTTTCGTGTCAAATGCATTCGATTGTTCCCACTCATGTTCTTGTTCACTACAATATTATTAGGCAAACAAACAAGCTACAGCAATTCATAAATGTTAGCGAGAAACAGCAAAGATGAATTAAAGCACCAGGTTAAGTGAAACTTTTGGACAGAAAATTACTAAAAGCCGGGAATTTTATCTGTTTCCGAAAAACTACTGTCTATCTAAATATGGAATATGACGCTATCAACAGTGAAAGTCAACAAAGAGACGAAAACTTTATTCGACATAAAGACTACTTTGGACACCATACTCTCTAATTTACTCCCACGAAAATCCTCGATAGAAAACTGAGATTTCCATCACCATGTAAAAATACAGTCTTCCTAATTGTAGCATCTTAAATCTCACACGAAAGGACGTTTGATGAAACAAATGTTAATTTAATGTTATATCACTTGTATAATGAATCCAATTTACACAAACATTCAACATAATTCTCAATCCCATAAGTTGCCAATTGTTCAGATAGATTGTCTACCTTGTTGGTCATGTTTCTTAATTTTTATTCTTCTGATATTTTAGTAACTAGTTGAACATAAATCTATTATCACAACGTGTTTCTTGTACTTCGATATTGGACAGTTACACACTTCCATAGCATTCTTAACTAGATTAACTAGATGCGGACAAACACTAATTTTATCAAAGAACTATCTGAGACAGTAAATCAGTTTAATTGGTCATCTTTGCAAATCAAATTTGAAAAGGACAAGTGTAGTTTACTGAGTAGGAATGGGATAAAAATGAATCAAAAATCTTGTAGTTAAGGAAATAAAACTGCTTTACTTGGCAAGAGTCAAGTAAAATGGTAGGCTTTCGTACTTTAACGACTTAGTTTTTATTTTTACAACCCAACACCAAGTACAGATGATCGAACTTGGCTCTTAATAACACTCTAAGTGTGAAGACTATTGATGCTATCCAGCTGCCCAAACTAAAACAAGTGGATGAGGGTTTAAATCTGCGAACTAATGGCTGAAACTTGAACATCTCAACCAGAGATACCGCTCAAATAAAAAAGAATACTGAACGAATATTTTACAAAAGATAAATAAGTATATATATATATATATATATATATATATATATATATATAACTTAATTTGCATACAGAACTTTTCGATAAATAAGTTGAAAAACAGAGATGCACATTTATATATATTTGATTAGCAAATACAGAATACTTTTTGACATCTTTGGTAAAACGGTGTTTATGGTAATGGTCGTTCAAAAAGTTTGTTGGATGTAGACTAAAGAGAAATGAAATACGGGATACAAATTAAGTTATATACCATGTGTGATTTACACTAGGAGAATCTTTAGTATTTTAAGATTAAAAATAAATTAAAATGAATACTAAAAATCAAGACCCTACAAATATACAATACGAAATAAATTGTAAGTAAACGAACGAAAAAGGACAAACAGAACGAACTATCACAGTCCAGACGGACAAAAGTAACATAGTTATTGCACTATTATAAAAAATGTAATGCACTTTTACACGAGATCATCTACTCTAACATACGAATCAGCATGGATCGTGAATGCTGTTTGTAGGGATTGAACAAAATCTTTTTCGAGAATCAGTAATTGAGTTAAGTTTGGAAGTTGAAGGTGCTGTTACCATGACCACTGTTTCATCAGATACCGACAAACTTGGAACGGGAAAACAATCGCGTTTACTGGGATCACAGTCAGCTATGATTTCAGGTAGTCTATAATCAAGATTTAAAAAAACAATAACTTGTTTAGTTGGTGCCAACAGATGCATAATATACTCTATAAATCTTGAAAAATCACCAACTCTGCGCATGAATCTCGACAAAATTAGCTAAAATGTTAATGGTACTATTTGGTTTTTCAATTCAAAAGCAACTAATCCTGAATCTGTGAGTAGAGTCGAAGGTTTTGTTCAATGTATTTGAATGCCCATCTAAATACGTGCAGAACGATCTGAATACTAGAATTAAATATCACGCAAGATAATGACATTATTTCGGATATATGATTACACAAAAGTTAATATGGAATGAACTGCTAGTAGAAATTTGGAAATTTGTTAGGAGCTACTTCAAATCGATATTTATTGACGAACTGAAGGCATGTTGAAGATTTAACACTCCCATACCTCCTAAAAATGTTCAAGAGTGGTATGTAGGCGAGAAGATACTTAGGTAAGTAGTAAGACAGGCATTGTACCTCGTATAAATGTATAATAAGTGATGATAAAGTAAAAGTTAAAAGTAAATCCTTTAACTGTACCTGCTCTTTTCTAAGCAGCGAGAGGCAGCTTCCTTGGCCTTTTCGACCCTTTCTGACAATTCTTTAAAATAAATGCTAGCAGAAGCTATTTGTGGAGCGTCTTCATTACCAGGCTCAGATTTCTTTTTGACTGTAGACAACTCAATTGAATTGTGGTGTACAAACCGCCTAGGGTCAGACTTGACAGGGACTCTTAATGTAGCTATGTTAGAGATGTCTGATCCCCACAAACGATTGATCCATCGCAATCTTTGTACCTTAGAACATAAGTAAGCGAAATACGTTTCTTACTGTTGTTCCAAATTGTACTGCGATTGACACAAGAGTATCTCCAGGTTTGACGTTATAGATTATATGAGGATTTTGTGAAGCATTCGTAGATTCTAGAGTCCCGTATTGTCTTTTAGGTCCAGAGGACAAGATAGACGACCCTTCAGACATAAGACATAAGACGACTTAGCAAATTTTCGAATGTGGCAGGAACCTTGAGAGTAATACTAAGTAGGTTATTTAAAAAACTCCATTTGGGCAACATGTATATTGAGCAAAAAGTTGAATTCAAACAGTTTTAAATATCTTCGTGTAAAAATATGATATTCTTTAATATGGCGTTGCTGGGTAGACAGTGCTTATAGGTGACTGAACGTGAGAAAATGGAATCATACCTCAGTTTGTAGTGGCTAGTACTATGCTTAGACGACTTCTAGCTTCTGAACAGATCAGTTTGTTCATTCTTTTCGAGCCACACTTTAGACTTGTCCCTTATTCGCTCATTAACTGACTTTCTATATAGTCTTGTGTTAACTGCTTTCCCTGTCCATTGCGTATATGTAATTGCTTTATCTCTTACTCTAAATATCGAGTAACACTTGATTGAATCGAGTTGGCTCACCCTATATCTATGCAGCGTGTCACCTTTTTTGGTTCTGCTTCGCCTTCACTTCGTTTCTTTGATTGTCCGTCCGGATAAATGAGTGTATGAAATATAGATATTCAAAATTCATTCTTGTTATTGGCTTATTTTATTCCGTCATTCTTTAATGCGAATTCAGTTAGTAATCATATACGAGGGTTGGAGGCATAAATAATCCGATAACAATCAGCATATGACTTAACTGGAGTTAGATATAGGGCAACTAAGGTTTTCTCTCTTTGCGTCATGGAGCGCGATGATGAGTGTAACGGAAAGAAAACGATGAACGTCGAAGTGAGACAGTGTGCATGCTCTAAAGAGTTTTGTGGATGACTCTGAGGCGTAAGCAACAAACCATTTCTGTACATAGATAACAGTTGGGTTTGTTTTTGCTACATCTTCAATGAATTTTGAGCTGGTTTCTAATTTTTCCGTGGTTAATAACCTTTTATAACGCTCTGTGGAGATAACTCTGAAGGGATTTCCTCAAGGGAATAAAGTTGTTGGTGCTCCATGGGCAAAATTAACATGATATGACATTTTCCACCAACCGTTTCCTTATTTTGTGATGTCCTTGTGGGGCATTAGCAAATCCTCTTCGTTTCTTACGAACCTCCATATATTCACGTTATCAAACCAGACTAGAGCGGCTGAGATCATTATACTTAGAAGATCGTTGATAAGAATCAAAGGGAGTAGTGGGTTTAAAAAATACATCGTCAACTTCTGATGTTGAATACCTACTGTTAACATACACTCTGCTTAAATTAATCCAGAACATTCAGTTCTTCAAGTAATTTTTGATCCAGAATGAAAATATATCAGAATAACCCATCCTCGCAGCTTTTGCTGTGAGGAGGGTATGGAAAATGTAGAAATAATACATGAACCAGTATCTTCTCGCCGCAGAATGTTGTCTATCCATCCTATCCCAGGACCTTCCTTTCCTGAACCCATTTTAGGCCAAGAATCTTGTCGTCTTTGTAATTGTTTTTCCTCAGTCGACCGTTACTCAGCATTTTTATAACCTACGGTAGTACTGTGCCATGATCACTACTGTCCATCTGTGTCAGTACATGAACTTCTTCAACTGGAAGCTGATCACGTAGTTTTGGGTTGTTTAATCAGCAAAACTATCCATCTTCCACTCATTTCATTGCATCGATCACATGTTCAGTGGAGCTTAAACTTCTGATAGCATCCTTGAGCCTCTCGAGGAACCGGTCACTAGGTATATCACATTTCCTAATGTGATTTGGGAATGAAGTGTTAAGTACCCCATATATGAGCGCCTGTTCATACATTTGGTGAGATATTAATGACCGTAGAATAGCTGTTATTGTTCTTGGATACACTGATCATCCCACCTGTGTTCTGACACTTTTCACACACATTTTTGAGCAGTGTAAAAACAAGATATGAGCCAAGCACTCAGTTGTGTGATTTATCATTAGGATTTCGTTGATTATTTTGTACTCATTCTTATGAATACTTATGAATTTTTGCCCTGTATACACAGGGCAAAGTACTTGCGTCGATCAGCAGTGAGAAGTAATACGAACGAGTTAGCGATAAAAAACTTTAAACTAAGAACCAACAAAGTTAAATTGACTGGATAGTTTCTTACTTTTGTGTATTATCACCTGTGAGAGTACAATATATTTGCCCAATCGAATGCTCCACACAATGGTTGCTAAAGTTTATCTCCACTCCCCCTTCTGTTTGTATTTTATGTCACTTCCGAATACTGTCGTACATTGGACCATAACTTTGTCGTCTGTGGTATCAGGTAACTGGAAGTTTTCAACCTTCATTATGATCTTCAATATGAGTTGGAAACTCATGTTTCTGATGTCTCCAACTTTCTTCCTTAGTTAGCCTACATATCTGTTGAGACTCAGCTAATTGCAGCTTTTCACATTGTTCCCATATGGAGGCAAAGGTTGGCGGGGCTGATAACACGTTTTGGTTCGAAGAAGGTCGGTCATTTTGTCAGTAGCTACAGTGTAACGGAGTTTGTGATTTTGTAAGTGATTTTGCTGTAAGCTATATTCCAGTAATGACTCCGTCAGTCTCGCATTCGGGCATTCCTGTATCAGCTCAACTAGTGGTTCTGTTACAGATTCTTTTGATGCAAATACAGCATCGTGTTTCGCCTTCGTTGATTTTGTTAACGTATTTTTACTACAATCAAAACAAATTTCAGAAACACAGTCACAGGCGACTTAACATGAACCATAAGGATTGAAGCGTCTTAAATACTGTAGACCCATTTATTACAAAAATGTCATTCTAACGATGAATACCGGGTTCTAACTAAGGACAAACACGCAATACAATTAGCGTTGTTGAGTTTTTCTCTTGTAGAAGGCAGTAGTTCTGAAAGATCTGTTTTGTGTATCCGTAGTGGCATTGGACAATAGCCACACAATCCACAAAGCTGTGAATACGAGACTACTCAGAAAATAGATATTCAATATTTAACTCGGGGAAATACCTACCAATGGAGAGGGCGCGGAGTATGAATTGAATGAATTGGAGTTGATCGAGTGGCATGGCTCGGCCATGCAGGCGTGGTCTCTGCTGAATGTTACCTTATATCTTCTATTCATATTAAATATATTGTTCCTTCTCTAGCCTAACCTTGTTCTACATCATGTATTGGTAATTGATACGATACAGTGAGTTGGTGTAGTCGATGGTGTGACTTCCACGTAAGATCTTATAGGTTAGGCAGTTATATCATGACAAATCTACAAATTTAGGATTAGGTCTATTATAAGAGCAGTACTAATACCATAGTAGACCATAATTCTACATATCCTTTGTTCCTATTTTTTTCTTTTCTTGTCAGTATTACAATAATTAGAATTTTTGTTGGGTAGTTGTACATGATTCTTTATGAGATAATCAATTTTGGTGTCAAAGTTGCATGAGAGGTAATATATATTATTAGACGAGGTGCTTCGCCTGTTCTCCACAATTAGGGAACTTATTGCGAAAGCAACAATGCTTGCACATCAGGACACTCAAGCACCCATTAGCATCGCAGTAGATGCATCCGACTCAGAAATCGGAGGAGTCTTACAACAATGGGTTGACAACTCCTGGTAACCATTGGCATTTTTCTCTAGACGGTTGCTAGACACCAAATCGAGGTACAGAACATTCGGTACGAAACTCCTAGCTATGTATTGTGCTGTACGGCATTTTCAACACTACATCAAAGGCCGTGAATTCACTCTTTTCACTGACCATAAACTGCTCACCTTCTCTCTAAGCTCTTCTTCAGACAAGTACTCTCTCCGTGAGTCTCGACAACTGGACTACATTTCGCAGTTTTCTTCAGACATTCAACACATTTCTGGAGCAAACAATGTAGTTGCAGACGCCTTGTCTCGCATAGCTTCCTTGAACCGTTTCCAAAGAATAGACCTTCTGAAACTCGTCCAGACAAGTTAGCTGGACGAAACGCTGGAATTACTTAAATTTCAATCTCTGAGATTATTTCAAATGTAATTATCACATATAAATAATACTCCTGTGAGTTTCGACACTGGTGCCAGGCTTAACAGTTTTAATTGACACACCCCAGCTGAAGACTCTTGGTTATGCTTCTGCATCTGATCGCGAGTGGCTATGACATGCCACACACTCTTTGCGACTGCCATCCAACTTAGATAAAACGGTTCTCAATATACTAACAGCTTTCCACATATATCTTCAAACTCGTTCATCTCTGAATCCTGGTCTGACTGAGATGGTACCCTTTGATTATCTAAGTGTTGCAGACAAAATCATTGTTTAACCCTGAGCACCTGTGTCATCCTTTTATTGATGTGTAGAATTCAATATTCGAAGATTATAAGTTACTCGATTCCTTTATTTTGAAAGAAAAATAAAATTCTGTAATTTTTTGGGGCATTCAGTTGCATTTAAGATCTTGATGCTCCTGCTACTTGGTTTCTGAATGCTTAATTATTGCGAGCAGATTTACCCAGTAGTCTTTAGCTAGCCAGGTTTTCAATGAATATTCTTGGTATTTCACCATCCTGCGTTACTTCATCAGCAGCAATAGTAACAAATATCGTATCTTTGTTATCGCTATTGAGGGCATAAGTGAAAAGACAACAAATCCTCAATCATTAAAACACCACTAGCGTAAAAATATTTGATCATCTATGAGGTGCTGGTTAGTAACATTTAAATATTTATGAACACACAAAGTGACATACTGCCACTGTACTCGATATTCATTTCGGAAGCGCCGGTGAGTACAATGAACGCTTTTTAATAATTTTTGATAATTTTTGACTCGTTTAACAGTAACCAAATCTTCTTCAGTTCATATCATTTGAAGGTTAAAAGTCCATTTCTACTTACAAGTATCTCACACTGCAGGACCAGCACGCAAATGATTTAATGAAATATATAGAATTAATATATCATAATTGTAGTTCTTTACAAACTTGTAAAGAAGTTACAAATATAACTTAACAAGGTATCTCTCCAAATTGTTATTTTTATTAGGCAAATAACCAATGAAAGAATCAGTATTTTTTGTTTCATCCTTATTTATTTGA